GATGTTCCAGAATCTGCCGTTGTTTTGGTTGACATTTGGATCGCTTCCTTGATTGCTGTCCAGTGTTCACTGAGTCCTCCGACTGATGGTTGAGTGATCTGATAGTTCCGCTTTGTAGGCCTATTTGTAATCATTGCTGACACTATTGTGCGCATCCGTTTTCGGTGGATTTTCTGCGGTTGTTTACTAGACGTAGAGAGAATCTCGCTCGTAACAGAGCATGGTCCGTGTCCACGGGTGTTGACCAGTAGGAGCGGCAGTCTTTAATGGATCCTCGAAAGCGGTGGCTGATGGCGATGTGGTCGGTTTGATTCCAGCGCTGCGAAGAAGTTGGCGGTCTCCGTATAAAACGGTGTCGTTTCTTGTGCGAGAAGTTCGTGCTTGACAGAAACAGTCTGTGGTCAGCGCAAAGTTCGAGTAGGCGTTCTCTGTTGTCAGTTCGGTTAGCTGGAATTGCATATGAACCACTAAGTAGCCTTTCTGATTCGTCCAGGGATCCCAATTGTGGATTGAATTCTCCAGCGACTACCACGATGTCCGTTGACCGAGTACTTTAGAGCAGTTGAGAGAGGTCCTTGTAGAATTCATCCTTCACTTCTGGCGAATTGCAATCAGTCGGTGCATACGCGGATATGACGAAAAAGCATCGACACTTTGTTCTGTAGCTGTTGATCCGTAGTGAACCATCCAGACGTACAGCGCAAAGTCGGCTACTAGCCGGGATCCAGTCGAGAAGTGAACGCTCGGCCTTGACACCCAGCGCGATCCCAACACCAGCAACACCATGACCTTCGGATCGTCTGATACACGAAGAGTGAAGCGTGAGGATGAGGTTGGATCTGGAGATCGCAAGGGGATGGTTGAAGTAGGGTCTTGTATACGTGTTTCGGAGACACAGCATACATCTAAATTGAACGTTTCAAGGGTTCTAGCTAAAGCTGCTCGTTGACCGATCTGGTAGAGTGTGCGGACATTAAATGCGGCTAAGTGAAAAAGAGATTTTGGTTTCAAAAACCTGCATGTTTCTGGTTGATTGACCTTACTAGTTGAACGCTGCTTGATATCCGATGGGTGGCGCAAAAAGGAGACATCTCCTAAGGTTTGGGAGTGAGAAGAGGTAGTGGACGGTTGAGAAAGATGGTTTTCCAAATGGGTTTCTAAGGCATACTTTGCGGTTGCCCACATAGACGAAGGAGTGTTTCTTTGGGTGCCCTAACCGGAGCCTCCGACTCAAAAGTCTGACCTACAAGGCAGTGGGGCGTAAATACAACGCGGGAGCGTAAACGAAGCACCCTTGTGGGACCTTCTAGAGACCAGTCACGCAAGGCCTTTGAATTTCGGTCAAGTTTGTTCTTCGCAGGTGCGTTGATTGTCGGTCCGCCTTTCGGGATCGGCCCCTAGCCTCATGTACCCAATGAGACAAGCGGGAAGTGGAGGGGACAGCACTGTGTTTTCTAGGAGCTGCTCAGCTTGGGCGGGCGGTAGTTGTCCAATGAAATGCAAAGAGTTCTTTCACCCTCCCACGTCCATCTAGCGGGGGATTTTGATAGGGAAACTGCCCCTCGTGTTTGTTGTTGGAGTGACCGCTCCAGGGACTGTATTGGATGGTCAAAGGAAGCCAGGTGCCCAAGCAGCTGGCCTTGTGAGACTGTTCTTCGTCTGACATCTACCCATTGACCTTTCAGGCATGATTGGATCTGCGGCTGACGAGCCATCCTGTATAGCTCGCAGGGTCATTGAGGCACGCAAGCCACCACACCACGCCAAGGTGCAGTCTCGTCGTGATGGATTTACGACCGTAAACCATACTCAACGTCCGGTGCATACGAATCTCACGCTCCGGGAGAAATATATGACACCAAAAGAAACTTCTATTATTGTCATTAGGGTAAGCGAATGTCAAACTGGACAAAATTAGAGCGTTCCGATAATCGGCTACTGCCTGGGTAACCTCTCCCAAATTCACGGTTTATTTTGTAATCCATTCCCAAACCCCATATAAACATCGTATCTGCCTGCAGTTCAGATACAGTGAAATCGTTCGGGACAACTAATATAATATAGCTATACTGGCATGTCTTTTCAAATGAAGAACATTAGAACATACTAGTTCTCATTTCCATTCGCTGTCATTGAGCTGTCTTAAATTCCCATGGCGATTATTCCAGTCCCTGTACACAGAAGAATAAATTCTCGAAACACCAGTAAACGTCAGTCGACATGCATGTGACCTCTTGAGTCAAACTGAGTCAATGCCGATTACTGACTTGGCTGTTGAAACCTATGGCGTTTGTCCACTCACGTGGAACGCAGATTTTGATCACGTCTCTTGAGCAGCACATACCGAATCTCAAACTAAAACCTAGCTTAGACACAAAATTGCACGCTTAGTCTCTGGCCTCAAACCCCAAGCCTTAAAAACCACTTATCGTGTTCGAGATATAAATAGTGACCACGAAGCTATCTGGGGAGCTTAAAACCTTGGAACCAAATCAATTGCATTCCCCGTGTTTAATGGGTATGCAGGTGCGGATGTCGGTAGTGATGAATCTCGTAATGGCAATAGAGCCACGAAATTGTACCTAAGGGCAGTGGTCGGAAACCTGCTTTCACGAGAAATCCTTTCTGATCCTAGTGTGCTCTACACGGCGGTCTGTCCAAGTGTCAGTCACATACGTCAATACGTCCCGTACACCGTTTCTTACCCATCCTTATCATAGCATACACAGAAACTCCACTGTTCCGTACATCCCTCAAATTCTCATAAGTCCGGCGTGGGTTTGAAGGTTCAACCCATAAAACCTATTATCTACTTTTCTTTGAGGATATGTAATGCATTGTTCCAGTGGAATGTGGATATTTGTCTAATCTAAAGTGCATATAAACACAAACCGACGCTCTGGGACTGGGAGTAATAAATTAAAGAAGTTCCGAAACACAATTTAAGCCGAACGAACTCGAAGCAGTCCGAATGAGCACTTGAATGGCTAAAAATAAGCAGCCATAAAAGCGCGATGTGCCACCAGAGAAATAACAACACGAAGCCACCATATTCTGATTATTGAACCATTCAGTTAGGCTGACCTGCAATGTACGCTCATGTCAAGCAAATAGCAAAGATTGACATTACGACGGATAATGAAAATTACTGCCTCCTCCCAAGTCAGGGGACGTAATTAACAACAAATCCCCCAAAAATTCGTCTCATTGATGTTACAGGTTATTACATCCTGTTGACAATAATCTAGACTTTCTTAAATTTCCTCTTAAATTGAGAATAACTGGAAGGTGGGCAATGGTAAACGCTACGATACAATCAGTTATCGTATGCCAGCCATTACTTGCCTTTCTCTGAAAGCTGTGCGCGAAAAGCTGATTTCAAAATTACGGACGCTTTATACTAATAGCCGAAGTCGAGTCCGCGCTTACGGCGCTTTTTCACCCGAGTTCACCACGAAAGTGGTGCGAGGATAGCGGTGTCGATTTACTCCCAAGTGGCAGACTGTGTGATCTAGAGTACGCGGACAACATTGTGCTACTAAGTCAAGATTCAGGTAAG